AGGGAAATTAAAAAAATATATTCACCAAAATGACTAAATTTGGAACCTTTGCTAGATCTTTTCCACTTGCCAGCAGTGATAGGTGATTGACAAACATCTTACTTGTCCCTCAATAAGTATGACTGACAAAACTTACTCCCACATCTCTTTTCAAGAAGCAAACAGAAGGGGTTAATACAGTGTTTAACTAGTAATTTAATGGAGTGGGGAGGGGAGAAGGAGTATCTTTGCTACAAAACCACCTTTAAAAGCAATCCAAGCAAATGTGGGGGTTTTTTGTTTTGTTTTGTTTTTTTTTTTAACTGTAATAGCAAAAATCAGTGTCATTTTTATCTACTAATCCTACTGTTATATTTTCTACAAAATTAATTGGTATATATGAATTAATATATAACCAAGTGCTCCTCATGTTCGGAAAAAAATCAAGTTTGAAAAAGTGATTAGTAAAGCAGAGAGCTACGAAGTGCTTCACCCTCCACATACATCATTTTTCAATCAAAGAGTCATGCTAGTTAACTTAATATATGCCCACACATTTCTGCATTTTTAGATTAACTGAAGACCAAAAAAAAAAAAAAAAAAGACTAGTACAAGTTATCCACAAAAAGTGAATCACTATTACTTTTACTAAATATGCCCTTGAGCATCTCTAACACCTACTGAAATCTATGATACTTGAGGATACTCAGCAGTGCAAAACACCATAGTGAGTCATCTTTAAGAGTATGTTTGTGTAATACTGGGTCTACACTGCCAGAAAACTGGTATCATTCCCTGCCTTTAGCCTGAGTTGGTGTTTTCCCTTGGAAAGGGACCTCAGCTGACTTCTCAAGAAAATCGGCTCCTATGTCTAAAAAAGCTAGAGCCAAGACCTCAAATAATATGTTCTGCTTGAGATAAAGAAAGAGCGAGCATTATTCATAAAATCAACCATGTTTTGGCAGTGTGTAAGTGATACTGTAGTTGTGATGAACCAGGAAACATGAGGGGCAAGAATTTTTGTAGAGCAACCACCAGGTTTGGATAGAAATAAACACGTTTGATTATCACAGTACTCTTCCTTTCAGTCTTGAACAGTCTTTCCCAGGCACCTGGGAAAGGGTACTGTGATACCAAAAAGCTTGTCTAATAGGGCTGTGCAAAGCTTCGGTCACCGATTCGATTCAGCGGAGATTTGGCCTGATTCAGTGGCCGAATGCCCAAATCCAAATCAAATCAGGACATCCTTTAATCCAGGGGTACCCAACCTTTTTGAATGTGGGCCAGATCATGAACTTTTTATCACCCAGTGGGCCAGCGAGCCATATTCAAAGACCTCACAGGAAGCGGTGAAATTCAGCAGGTGAAATTCTATGGCCGGATATCAGACTGGATGAGACAGAATCTTACAAGGGTGCCACAGAACTTCCCGTCGCTTCTACCTTTAATGGGGTTCTTTTGAATTATAAGAATAAATCGTCTTATGGATGCACAGGATCGATGATTCAGCCATAGACACAGCTTTAAATTTTTTTTCTACATACCTCAAGGTACCAGGCAGCTCATGAATGCTGAGCTGGTGGGGCGGATGGAGCATCCCACAGGAGCATGGGGGGGAGGGGGGGCCAGCACACCCAAAATTGGACCAGAAGCACATCCAGTCCACTTTCAGGTCCACCGGGGAGCACGTGGGGGACCCCCACACTCCGGCTCGCCAACTAGTGCCTCCTGGGTCTAGGGCAGTACCCAGGTTTCCCCCCACAGCTGATCACTGACCTGGGAGGGTATCAGGTAGGTCCCCCCGTGCGCTCGGTGGCAGACCCAGAAGTGGACCAGAAATACTTCCGGTCCACTTTCAGGTTCGCCGCTGAGCACGCAGGGGTCCCCCCATGCTCCTATGGGATGCTCCATCCGCCCCACCGTCTCAACATTCACAAGCTGTGCCTGGTACCTCAAGGCATGTAGAAAAAACATTTAAAGCTGTGTCTACATCCAAATGAATCAGCATTGAATCTTCAGATTCATATTCAGCCGAATCAAATTGGGACAGTGATCCAAATCAGCTAATTAAATCACTGTCCCCGATTCAGGCCAAATCTGAATCCAAATTGAGTATGGCCCTTTCCGCACACCCCTATTGTCTAAATTTAATCTCAACCATGTATTTGGTCCAGTAAAAATGTATCTTGTGCAAAAATTGTTGCCTCAAGAAAATCAAGCGAGGTACAAGGAAAGACCTTGTTGTCAAGAACATGAACCATCTACAGCATCTCACTGGTACCACCTGGGATGAGAGATGCTCCACGCTTCTGAAAGTTAGGTCTGACCACCTTTTGTTGACATCAATTAAGGTAAGATGGGACCATTAGAAGTATACACGTTATCCATTTCATTTATGAGTTTAGTTAAATTCAACTAATTTTGATTGCTTGTTTTTAATCACTGAAATTTCTTTCCCATTCCCCCCAGTCCTACAATGCTTATGCCCCAAATGCAAGCATTTGGATATTAGCCACCTCTGCAATCAATATTCCCCTTCGTCCTTTTAATGCGATTAAGATCCATGTTTTGACCAATGAGATCTTAGAACTGTTGATGTAAACATCTGTATACAGAAACAAAAGGCTTCCCTATGCAACACTAAAGTGCAGTATTATAAGACAGAAATAAAATTAAACTGTTAACACAATGCAGAAATCCTCTCAACCCCTGACCAGAAGCAATACCTTTCTATACAACTATCAACTGGCCAATTTTTCTGACGAGCCTAATCCTCCCTACCAAGCAACAGTCTTTGAAACTTGCATTCCTTCCACAAAAATGGCTGTTAAGAGACAAAACAAGCTTCTTGCAGTAACTAATATGTTTTCTATCATGAAGCATAAAATTCTTCTCTGCACTACAGTAATGTCAGGTTTTAACACAAGTGACATTTGTCCAAGGAGGATGACGAATATTTCTCTGCTGAAAACTACTTCAACCACTGCCCCATGACACCCTTACTAAATACACACTCACTTAAGCCTAGGAAATGCTGTGAACATATTTTCTTGTCTCATACTCTAACCACTAGTATACAAGGGTTTCAATGTGCAGTAATACTGTGGACACTTGATATATGATATATCAGCATGTTAACTGTATTTCTACCATGGCTCAAACAAGCAACAAGGGAACCTTATCCTTTCTCTTGTCATTTCTGTCCTTAGTTTTAATTATAACAAGTTACAACTATCTTTCTCATCCTGAGCTGATTTTTTCCCTTGAAGACTGTTTTCACAGTTAACTAGTCCACCTTCATTCATTCTATCCACTGCAAAAGAGCAAACAATATTATTGGCCCATGTCAAATGACATAAGTTACTCTAATGAGTACAGATTTCTCACATTTTCTTCATAAAGCATCCTACCATCTGTTTACTCCCTCCTGCCTAAAACAGTCTCCCGCCTAGGAAGGAGCAAAAATTCAAGTGACAATATGTTCAGAGGTTTTCTTTTGTTTACACACACACACTTTCTCCATTTTTAAGGTAAGATAGAAAGCATAGTACTATACAGTTTATTCTCAACTACTTTCAGAAGTATTATTTTTCAAATCAGACATAATTAAAAAAGAACCAAGTTTCTCAGGATCCCCTAAAGTTCAAACACATAAATAGTCCTTCTTAAAGTACATGCATTCACATTTTTAAAAAGTCCACAAATACATACACCTTTAAGAACACTTTGAAGAGAAGCTACTGATATTGCATATCACCCTGTCAGTGAAGCACTGATTTCTGCCCATGATGTGGCTGAACAATGTTCTCCTCAGAGTCAGTAGCGCGCTACAAATTTAAGAGTCAACAGTAGTTACAATTCAAAGTATTTATTACCCATTCTGTTTTGTTATCTCTTACATATTCAATATCAGAATCAGGCCTTCAAAGTTTACAATGGATCAGAGAATGCTGGTTTTAAACTTACCTTAGAAAAACAAGATTCTAACAAGTTACTTTGAACTGTTCATTTTTACAAATATATTTAAGGCCTACTCCCACTGAAGTCAATGGAAACAAGATGACAAAGTCTTCACTGAAAACTATGGAAGAGAGTTCTTTAGCATACAAAGACATTTCTCCTTCAATTAAACTGAAAAATTCAACAATAAAAAGATATACCCTTATACAAAAGCCCAATAAAAAATACTTAATAAGGAATGAATTAGGTAGGGTTCTATCAAAACTACTGTAAAATTCCCTGTAGTTTAAAAGCAAGCATGTCCTATCAAAAGCCCTATGAATTCTACACATTAAAATAAAATGACAGTTTTAAAATTACTTTAGGATCTCTTCATAAGGATAGTTTTAATAGATCAAGTCCCACTGCCTAAAATGAATTCATCGGATAGTATATCACTTACCCATTTTGAAAGACAATATCCCACAAAGTTAAAGGAGGATGAGGTGGGAAACACAAAACTTACCTGTAACATGGTTAAGGAAGAAACACTACTGGGCTCATTCTCTGTGGAATTCTTCTCCATGGATACATTTTTCTTCTTTTTCAGCAAAGAGCTAATAAAACTATTATCTAGATTGATGTCAAAAGGTTTTTGAGACTCACCTGTTTGTTATTCTTCCAAGTGCGTCCAAAACTGAACAGGAGACAAACCTTGTGCATAAAATGCATTTTGAATGCTCCTTGAATGCACAAGATGCATGAATTCTTAAACAGTGGCAACATATAATTTGGTAACTGTTAACAGGTCTTGACATACTGTTCCCCTAAACCAGCATACAGCAAGTTAAAATATTTCTCTTTTGGAGATCATACAAATATACTACCCATACTATACCATACTGTACTTACAAACATTTTTTTACCACATACCTTAGCAAGTTGAAACTAAGGTCTAGTCTTTTTGCCATATGCCCATATTTTCTTCCTATAAATTCGGGAATTTCTTCACAGTCTTGGCCAATAAAAGATACCTGAGAATTGAATAAGACAAAAAGGATAATTAGCAGCTTTCATACAGCTTTTTACTTACTTATCCAATGGCAATGCAAACAACATAGTAACTTTCACTACACCCTTTCAAACCACATAAGCTTCAATGGTATGGAATCTATCAGTCTCTTCTCTTAATAGTTATTTATTGCAGGGGTACCTGGGCCAGATTCAGACTGAGGGGCTCCTTGCCAGCCAGATAGTGAGGAACCTTGCACATGGGATTTAGACCTACCTTCAGCAGCGAGGTACACAGCAGAAGTGTTATCTGCCATGGATTACAGAACCACTGGGATTAATACACCCACCATTTACCCATCCACTGCTGACATGCCCTCCCATAGGGGACCCATACACCAGAATCTGGCAGTGGGCCCCATCCCTATAATTCCCACCCCTCCTGGAGCCCTGCAGGCCAAATTGAACCAATGGCTTGGATGACTGACACCCCTGATTTATTGCATTCATAGCCTCATGTATATAGGATTGGGATTTTCTGACTTCAGATGAAAATATATTTATTAAAATGACTATGAATGCAGTAACTTAACATTAAACAATCAGCACTACTGGAAATAGTGGCCTACATTTTCAAAAGCAGAGAGTGATTTTTGATGCCTAGTTTAAGACACCCTAAAATGGGCCATTTTAAAAAAACTGTACCAGTTTCAGGTGAAAGACAGGCATTGGAGTCACTTGGAAGTCAGGTACCAGGTTGCTCCCAAATTCAAGGTTTTAAAGTCACTTCTGAAAGTTCAGGTGAGATATTTTCAAAATAGTCTACAAACAATGAGTCCTTATAACATCTGTTGAGATTGGTATTATCTCTTTCCACATAACAGAGATAGAGCAGAAAGTTTTGAGCAAAAACATCCAAGGGCATTAAGGAAACAAGCATGTTTGTATGACCACATCAGAAAAGTGTTCGACTTTCAGTTCCCAGCCTCCAGTTCAGAGTTTACATAACCTCTATGCTTTTGGAAGTTTTTAATGTTTTAATATGTATTAGGATTTTTCTCTCAGCCATGTTGAAATGGTAGATAGCTCCACAAGAGTGACATTCATCTATTCTACTACACACTGAAAAACTGCAATTCATGTTTTGAGTCTTCCAGGAATCTCTACTGAAATTAAGGCCAGGATTGAGAAATAAAAACTGTAATGAATTCTATATCTATGCCAGCTTATTTCTCCAGTAAGCTATTTGCACTGAGGAAATGGTGAGCCTGAAAAAAACACTAAAAAGAAAAATCAATACAATTATGAAAAATATAAAAGCCAACTTTTTCAGTGCAACAACTGTCCTTACTGACAACTTATTACTTAGTTGCATCACTATTTTTAATATTAAGCAAGAAAAGTTTGAGTCCACTTTATTACTAGCCTATAAAATGCCTGTGTATCCAAAATTCAGATAAGGAACAAACAAACAAGTCATTCAGGTTGTTTTGAGACTCATGTGTTCCCAAACATGAGCTACCCTACAAGAGAACTTGCCATTGTATTTCCTTCACAAATCATCCCCTTGTCTCATCCAGTCTTAAAGTGATGGCAATCAGACAATATAAAATTGCACCCCCATTCATTTATTCTTGTTCAGTAACTTCCACTGAGAAAGAGAAAGCTGACTACAGTAAAATATTTTTTCCCCTTTGAATACACAAGATGAAAAACAGGGTGTTCAAAGTTCAGTCCAGCAATTTCTTCCCTCTTCTTCCTAAGAGGCATCTTTCATCACAGCTCTTCCAATCAATTCTGCTTCCAACAAACACGCTTACCTTTCACAACTATGAGGAAGAGGAAAAGAATTTTTGTTGGATAGCTGACATCCTAATGACTTGGAAATAGTGGAAACCTTCTTTTAAAAAAAATCAATATCATTTTCCAAGTATATATCTTACTTGTATAATGGTTTTCATCCCCATGGACTACAGAGTACTTTACACGACGCACACAAATACATTAATCACTCAATCCACCACTGAAACATAACCATTTCTGGGGTGAAACACATGGTAAATTCAGAGCATCTCTGTACTCCTCCAGGAAGCACCACAGTGAGGCACTACCTGCCCACCCCATTATACATGTAATGTAGCTACCTAAGTGCAGTGTTGGACATGCACCAATAAGCAAGCTGATTTGGCTTTACTTATTCCCATGCTTGTGCCTTACTAATATGGCTACAGGACATCTACTCTGGGGTACAGAACATTCAGAACATGCATCCTGTTCTTCATGGGGGTATTCCCTGGCACCGTATGGAGAAGACATGGACCTGCCCTTACAGCACAGGTATATAACACATGGCCCACCAGGGCAATCCCACTGTCCCAACAAAATTCTTCGTTAAACTATCTAATTAAATGAAAAATTATTTGAAAAGCAGAATAGTAAGTCCTATAGGGCAATTCATTACTCTCTGTGGGTGCTTACATGCCTGCAAAAATGCTGAGGTCTTGCATCCCATTAGAGTGGAACCCATTAATGGCAACCCTCCATTGAGCAGCGTGCCTTGCAAATAGCCCTCAATGAAGGCTGGGATTGTGTATCCTTGCAGATATTCTCGAGTCCAAGGTCTCTTCATCCAATGCATCATTCATCACAGCATCTGATGACATTATCTCAAACCCATGAAAGCTTATGCATCTCCGATTCAGTTTGGCTATGAAGTACATCTCTACCCAATTTTCTGCCTAACTTCACACTAACACAACTAGCTAACTACCTCTCTCTCTATTTAGACTCTTAAACAAGTCACTTAGAGTTTAGCTTGCTCAGAACCTCTCTTATAATTCAAGTTTCCAAATCCAGAAGACAAGCTAAAACTTCCTTTTCAAAGGTGATGGAAAACAGAACGCTAAAGGCAGAGTACTTTGAATCATTGAGTTAAATGTTTTGTGGCTACCCAACTGGGTATGATGACATAAAAAGTAGGGATGTTAATTTAAGAGCCTCTCTCAGTCTTTATGCAAAAGTTAAGAATGTTCAAGAGTTCAGCATCCTTAGTCTATTTTCTCCCCTTTCCCCTACGTAAGAGACCAATGAAAGGAAAAGAAAATTAAGGGCAATTCTGACCTGTATACCTACTGGTTTAGGAAAACATCTAGTCACAGGTACTTAGGCTCCACAAATAAAGAATGTGGCACCATCACCACACACTGGAACAAACATTTAGTCCAGTGCATGGAAAACTTCAAAAGAACCAACTGTAGCATACATTTAGTTTCCACTAGCTTTTCACAAGTATGAAATTCCACACATACAGCATGACAGCCAAATGTCTCACTATATGCCACCATAAGAGTGAAGGCAACTGGCTTGTATTTACAAAGCAGAGAGAGGAGGAAGGGAAGGGAACTGGATGTTGGAAACCCACAAAAATGTGAATTCTTGCCAGTTGAATGAGAACTCTCCCTTCCCCCACTACCTGAAAACATGCACACTTGTTTCAGCTGTCTCAACCCTCTTCACAAAACAGCATCAGTGACTGCAAAGCAGCATAACTTCTGACAAGGAAAGACCAGTTATGTTTGCAGAAAACACATTTTTCAAACTAAAGGATATCAGCATTGATATTTAATGTCAATCTACTATGGGCAAAGTGGGAACTTAAATAAACACAACACACACACTTCCAACTCAATGCAAATTAACACTATAAAAGTGTATAAAGTACCATTTTCAACTACTCTGACTTCCTTCAGAGCAAGTATCAGCCTTTAAGTGCTGGCCCCTTCAGCAACCCACAACTCCTGAGCCTGAACTCCTCCATAGGCCACCGGAACCAAAATGTGATTGTTTCCAGACACCACTGAAATACCTAGATAGAGTAGGACACCCCTATGAACATAACTTATTCCTCAGTGGTTTTTCCTAATCAACAGGACAGTTCCATAGGTATGATTATCAAGGCTCAACAAGAGCAAGGGGGACTGGAGTACACACAGGATTGATAAGCAGAAACGGAGATATCCATTTTCTAGTTCAAGCCCTATCCAGCCTGATAGTAACCACTAGCTCTTGCCCTCTGGCACGTGTTAGACGACATACATGAAATGACATGAACTTCTGAAAAGGCCTGGACCAATTCTAGTAAGCCTGAAATAAAGTGCTGAACTAGGTAGGTCACATGGTATCTGATGAACATTTCACACCATTGTAGCTATTAGTAAAACCAGAAAAAAATGATATTCTTTTAAACAAGTTTTAGATTTTGACATTACCCAGATTCACATCTACCTCTTTCCTTACATAAATTCAGAGTTAGAAAGTATTACCCAATTTACATAGACTGGCTTTCATGGTTTTGCAGTGACTTCTGTTTTAAGTAGCAACACTATTCACAATGCAGCACTGTTAATTTAATACAGCATGTTCCCAAAGTGGGATATTCAAGAAATTTTGATACAATACATTTTGCACACCCAATTACAGACTCAGCAAGCTTCAAACCACAAGACACATGGCCACATTAAGAACCCACTGGACTTCAGAAGGGATAAATTCAGCCTCTGGCAAAGGAAAAAGCTTACAAGCAATGCTATAGCATGCCACAGCAACCACAGGAACCATTTCCTACGGCAGCTACACAGTTAGTTAATTGTTCTCACAACCAGCTATTGCTAGGCTCCGTACAAGTATATAATTAAGGAATTCCATGTAAAGCCATTATCATGCAAAGAGTAGCACTCATGGTGCATCAGTCCAGCATTTTTAAATAAATATCAGCTTGTGAGGGGGGAAAAAAGGTTTTGTTTCTGTTCTTAAAATAAAGCCAGGGGTCCAACAGTAGGGAAACTGATCTGAAGTGAAGATTCGTAAAGACAGATGGGAAACCTGGGTGTTTAAGTCCTATAGGGGAGTAATAGGAACAGGGTTCCTTCCTGCCCTCTATGCCTTTAAAAAGTCTCCACTCTAAGCAAAAGCAGAATATTATATAATGAAAAGTAATTATTTCCTTTCCTAGAAGTAACCATAATTAATTTTAATCTGTTCCTCCTCCCCCTCATTTTCATTCAGTCTTTAAAATTAATACTTGTAAAAAGTCATGGAAGTGAAATCCTGTATCTACTTGTAAGATAGTACATACAGTAAGTAATAATAGTTCAAGCCTTCTCCCTTCATCCACAGCTCTTCAGTTAGATTTAACCTCTTCAAAAATCAATGTTACTCAGTCTTCTCAGCATAATCAACAGGAACCTATCCATTTCAGGCCCATAGGAATGGTTGTGGGTTTTTTGTTTTGGTTTGGTCTGGTTTTTGAGGTATAGACATAAGGGACAGATTCTCACCTGGCATCAATTGTCTTAGCCTCAGAGAAGTTAATTAAACTAAAACTAGTGACACGAGAAACAGAATCTTATCTCAGCAGAGGTGCAAGTTAGGAGTCATTTCATTACCGCAATGGAAACAAAGCAACAACAAAAAACAGGCCTCCTTCTGTTAGGAACAAGTACAATTCACTTCAGAGGCCCCAGTAACATCAGACAATAATATTCAGGCACCATCAACTTGGTAGAATGTGAATCCACAACCTAATTATTAACACACTTGTCTCTTGGATGGAAAGCTCCACACAAACTCATTCCAAACCCCCAAGCTATCCAGGCAATATCCTATTCAAAGCTTGACAAAGAGCACAGAAAAGGGTGGTTTGAAATGACTTCAGCATCAAAGATCTGAGGCATGCTGAGCAACACTTATGTGTTTCCTTTTCGTTGTCTTGGGCCGCACAACAACATTTGTGAAGAAAGTTGTGAAGCATGGGAATGGTACTACAGATATAGGGCTGCCTTCAGCCTGAGAGCAAGAAAGGGGCCAGCACAGCATACAGCTACCCTGGAATGGTTACTCATCATGTTTTAGAAGACTATTGCACTGTATGGAGAAGTGGCCAGAAAAACCATTTGAAAGGCAGCAATTCACTGTCTTCATTTCACAAGAGCTGCACGTGAGAGAGGGAGACTTCTCTCTTTCTCCCCTCAAGCAAACAGTAAAACTGTTTAATGCAAACAGGCAAACAACATCCACCTCTCAATTTGCAGCACGTGCCTAGTGCTTCCAATAGAAATCAATTGCAAAACATATTGATTGGGGAAGTGCAACAATTACGGTAAAAAAAAAAAATCAGTGGGAATTGTAGCTCTTTCGAGCCTGAGCAGAAATAAAAGAAATAAGCATCTCTGACACCAGCATCCAGTGTCTCCAGCAGAGATAGCAACTCCGCTCACCAGAGTGATTCTGCTAAGAAAAGCTCTGATACATCCCAAACTGATATAATGCCCAGCTAAAGAAGTGACTGAAGCAATGGGGTTTGGGTTTCTTTTTTCCCCTAGAGTAAGCGCCATTCCCTTCCCCCAAGCAAAGCATTATTGCCTACAAGGACTCAAAACAGTTACAAACTACCCTCTGGGGCCTACAAGCATGCTCATCTTCCAAGCATACTTCCCCTCCCAGCTTCCCATTGCCTTCGGGGCCGAGCTGCCCAGGAGCAGGGGGGAGAAGGAAAGTGCCTAGGGCTGCAAGTCGCTGAGAGGAGCCCGCAGACGCAGGCACAGGAAAGCACAGAAGGAAGCTGGTCAAGCCAGGAGGAGGGGACCATTCGCTCAGTAACAAGGAAATCTTTATTAAAAAACGAAAGAGTGGTGCGAGGTGAAGAGGGGTCATAGAAATCAAGAGATGACGCTCTTTTTGGGGGTGGGGGGACAAATCCCAGGCAAGGCGCTTTCGCCAGGTAGGAATAAATATGCGCTGAGGAGACAGAGCAGGAGACAGACGTGTTGCAAAAGAGAAGGGGGGCGAGAAAGACCCACCAGAAGTGCTAGTGCTGCTGCTGCTTTGCAGAGAGCCGGACACAGGCACTTACTTGAGCTCCGTTTACCACGGCCCCTGCCATCGCTGCCAGCTGCAAGCGGGGAGGGTGCGGGGCGCGAGGCGGGCTAGCTAGCTGCAGGGCTTAGAGCAGACAGTGAGGACGTGCTTTGGAAGTGCCTTTCATTCACCGCCTCTGCGGAAGGCTCAGCCGCGGCCGCTTC